TTAAATCCTGCTTTATTAACCTTTATTGCTTGTTTTAAATTCGTATCGGGAAATAAATGTTATGTTTTTATTTGTTGATCATGGATTGATATCTATTAGAGAACCATTAAAATCCAACACTGGAGTACTGGACAGCTGCTGTTTCATCCTAGTTTGGAAATCATCGTCAGTACGAACCTACCACCAGGGTTAGAACCTGGACCTTCCGGTTACAAGACCATCCAGGTCGTATACCATTCAGCAACTCACTGGGAAGCGATTCAATGGCTCATGAATTCTACCAATTCGTGATTTAGCGCAATCCCAACCATTGTCGTTGGTGGGACATCCATCCACACACGTGATATCTAATTGGACCTCACTGGTCACGACTTCTCACTAGAACTCAGGAAACTCCAACCTGTATCAAGTCACTAGCGAGCATCAGATTCACTTTCTATAGTTTGGTTTGTAAGGGTTTGTTATGTTTTTACGAGTTGATCACGGATTGGTAGAAGTTAGAATTCATGAGCCATTGAATTGCTTCCCAGTGAGTTGCTGAATGGTATACGAGCTGGCTGGCCTTGTAACCGGAAGGTCCTGGGTTCTAACCCTGGTGGTAGGTTCGTACTGACAATCATTCCCAAACTAGGGTGAAACAGCAGCTGTCCAGTACTCCAGTGTTGGTTTTCAATGGTTCTCTAATGGATATCAATCCGTGATAAACTCGTAAAAATGTTGTTGTTGTTGTTGTTGTTGATGACGCTAGTTCATTCATTCACTATTATGGATGGGTGCACACTTAAAACTGTAGAACCTGATGAGGATGAGGATGTAGAGGAGGTTATCGGAAATGTGAATATTCTGCGTTCACTAACGAGTCTTTTGAAACAGAGAAGTTTTTTCCCCGCCTGAACCGATAACACATCAGTTTTATTTCTTGTTAATATTTTATTATAACAAACAGACAAAGTTAAAGAACCTCTCTTGTGTTTTATGTATTCAGTGTCTATGTGGTGAGAGCAGTCTGCTAGCCAATTGGTTGACATTAATCTACGTCAATGTCTAGGTAACTAACATGGGCAGTGAGAAAATATGGACAAGGCTGTTTCAACAACCAATCACAGCAAAGTTAAACGTGGCCAAATATCATTCGCAGATAGATGGCTCCACTCCACTTTCCGTCCGAAGAACTCAAAAACAACCAATCAGAAGACTGCCACTTTTGTCTACTTGACTAGGCTATAATAATGTATGTGAAATTTATATAAATACGTGTTGATTTCCGTAATAAAACGATCTGTTGCCTGGCCCTTGTCTTCTGTTGTTACATCTGTAGACCTATGCTAATTTATTCAATTGACGACAGTAGGGTGATAAAGAAAGACTGTTCAATACTCGTCAGCTTTGAACGAGATAATCTTATATAAAGAAAGAAAAATAAGCAGTCAAAACTGGTCACCGAAGACTCAGTTTCAAAGAAAACCTGATTCTCATGAACTTGGAATTCAAAAGCTTCAGATGTGCACAAAACAACCATCTCGCTATACAAACCAGTAAGACGTTCCTTGCAGTGAAATTACAAAAGAAGTTCACCAGGCTCAATTTGTTCTCCATCTCTGTAAAAGATAAGCTCCTGCTCGTCTGGCCGCCTCCATGTGCGGCATCTATCAGTTCACCTCGCTATTGTGAACCAAGGTACATTGGCTGTAGCAAGAGGAGTCTGCTTTCCACACGGATACGAGGACATATTGTGGCGTGGTTGTACAAGGGAGAAAGGAAGTGTGTGGGAAGCTCAATTCTAAGACAATACTTGCTCGACTTCTGTGTCACTTCATTACCAACCCTGACCATGATTTTAAGATCATCATCTATCGAATCCATGCTAGCTTGGAAGCCGCGTTTTCTTCGTTATATTAGCTTCTAAAGATGGTGGAGGCATTTGACTATTCATATTTTATGAATTTAAGCCAGCCAAACCTTCCTCGGCCGTAGAGAGATAGACATTTATTTTATTTATTTATTTATTGTGCTTATTTAGTGTTATTCTATGCACCTTTTCCTAATTACTACGATTATTATTATTATTGCCATTGTCTCTTTGATGAATCGTTTCCGCTTGTCCCACTTGTCATTCTAAATCCAAAAATTTTTTTTACAATATTGAATTCGGTCCTAAGCAAATTTCACACCATGTTAAATAACGTTTTATATTGACCCATTAACCCTATAATTGCACACACCCCTTTCAGCTATGATAGAGAAGATTTGTAGTTCAGGTGAATGATTTTGATGTGGTTTTGTTCTCTGAACTGGCTGGATGGTTAGTTTGCGAAGCTTTCATCACCCTACTGGGTGACATCTTCCTTCAGCGCATACTTCAATTCGAAGTGAAGTGAGCTTTTAGATTTCTCCACGAGTTCACCATTAATCATCTCTCCTGGTCACTGACCTTGGACCTCGTGATTGGTTGTTTATGTGTGTTTTCACACCTTCTAGGTTACTAGTATTGGAACTGATTGTTTCTTTGACTTGAACTTTGACCCTTTGTGTGTGAAGTTTCTTTCTTATTGGTTGATAAATTTCGTCTATCTCGATGTGTCTATTGATTGTTAATGATTCACTGGAATGCCAGTCAAGCTTCTAAAAATTCTCTAGTATTCTTGTTATTTCCGTTGTCTAATATTTGAACGTTGTTCCAGTCGAATTGATGTCCGTGGTTGTCTGTGTGGAATGATATGAGGGAGTGGTTATCATATCTTTTGACGGCTAGCTTATGTTCGTGGATATGGAGACGAAGAGTAGGGGACGTCCACTTTGGACAATTTAGTTAGTGTTTTTCGCAGTTGTTACAGTTTATTTTGTAGATGATGTTGGTTTTATCTTCTTTCGCTGTTGAGTCTTTTGGTTGATATAGAATTGAGTGAAGCGACTTTGTTTGTTTGTGTACGACGTCATTTCCTCATCAAGGTTTGAATAGTCTTGTAGTGATTTCTGAGATATCCTTTATATATGGTAAGGCGATTTTCTTTGTGCTTTCCTTGGTGGCTTTTGCTTTGGTAGGTTGGCTTGGGGGTATATTTTTTTGATGAAATTCCGTGGATATCCATTCTTTTGGAAGACGTCCATGAGATAATTTTCTTCAGTTTTCCTTAAGGTGGGAGTGCTGCAATGAGTCCTAGCTAGCCCACTTGAATAGTGTTTGTATGCAATTCCTTTTGTGTGTTATTGAGTTGTTGCTGTTGTAATTCAGTATTTGGTCTGTGTGGGTTGATTTCCTATAAACTTGAGTTTCTAATTCTCCTGTAGTTGTTCGCCTGACTAAGACGTCCAAAAATGGTATTTTGTTCTCGGATTCCTCTTCTCTTGTGTGTGAATTTGATGTCGTTGAAGACGTTGTTTATTAAGTTGTGAGTTTTATCTAACTCGTTTCTTTTGATTATTACAAATGTGTCGTCTACATAGCGAAGCGTATCCAAATCTTGGGTTTGATCTTTGGTAGAATTATGTTTTCGAGTCTTTGCATCACTGCAATGCTTCTGCAATCAAACCTGATATTGGCGATCCCATGGGTGTTCCCCTTTCAAACAACATCTATACACCCGTCTTATGAATTATTCTATATGTGACATTGCTTGTTTTGCTACTTGACGATTAACAACGATTATATAATCACAAATATTTTAATTGCATCTCATAATACTACTACTACTACTTATTATTATTACTACTTCATGTATTCACAAATTTGATTTGATTCCCTCCCTCACCTGATATAATTTCTATGAAAACCATTTGTGTATATACGATAGAACAGCTTGACAAGAATAAATTCATTGTTGAAAAGAGTCTCAAGAAACCCTCATCAAAGACCACAAGAAAATTCATCCTACCATACATATATATAAGAAAGAATATCTCTGAAATAACAGCTAGAGTATTAAGACCATTTGAAATAGATACAACATAGAAAGAAGCCAGGCAGCCAGCACAATCACACTTCATTCGATATTGTGCAAACCGAAAGACCCATCCAACAGGAAAAGGAGATAAAATTAATACTATCTACAAAATAAATTACAACATCCATGAAAAGTAATAGACATTACATCGGCGAAAGTGGGCGTTCTTTTCGAAGAACACTACAAACTGGCTGTAAAATGACATGATATATATATATATATATTTCTGTTTCATATCAATGCATGTAGATAATTACGGACATCAATTATGTAACTGCGATAATGTCCAAAATTTCAAACATACTGCCCCAGAGAATTCCTAGAAGCCTTATTTGGTGCTCAAGCGAATCAACCGTCGACTAAAAAAAACACGAACAATACTATAGACCGAACTAACTGCCAGGTCAATAAAGAATAATCAATACAGATGTAAATCGACTACCAGTCAGTCATGAAGATGGTTGCTGCCAGGCGAGATACACAATTATTTTCATCATTCATTGGAGTTTAATTTAAATCAGTTCATTTTATGCTGGCAGTTGCTCTGAGTTGGGATGTTTTCCAGAATATGGAAGAGGGGCGACGACAAAAGCTTCGTAACTAAAAAACAAGCAACCAGCTTCTCAGAGAATATATTATTGTTGTTATTCAAGTGTCGGTTTGTAGGAATTTGATTGGTTAAAGGATTTCATCATGAGATGACATTAGTTGGAGAACCATTGGAAAACAAGCTGGGAGTATTGGATAGCTGTTTCGTCCTAGTTTGTGACTCTTCAGCAGTACGCGCCCACCAAGATTCGAACCCAGGACATTCCGGTTATAGGGCTAGCGATCGCGCTAAGCCGTGAGTTGGCAAAAGTTAGAATTCAATGACCATTGAATCGGGTCTCAGTGGCTTAATTGTATACGAGCTCGCCTTGTAACCGGAAGGTCCTGGGTTTGAATCCCGGTGGGCGCGTACTGCTGAAGAGTCCCAAACTAGGCTGATGAAACAGCTATCCAGTACTCCCAGCTTGTTTTCCAATGGTTTCCTAACTAATGTCAGCTCATGATGAAAACCTGAAATATATTATTGTATTCTTAATCCTACAGTGAGAATAATTATTAAATTATCAAAAGAAAGATTAAATAAACTAAAATAGCTTTATTTAGAAATGACACAAAACAAAAAGAAAAAAATAAGTTGTCATGGCAATAAAGAGTTGTAGAAAAAGTACCAAAATAATGGAGGCTTCCACAGAACTCTACACTGTTGAGATAGAGTAAATACGAGGAGGAGGAGGAGGAAGTGGATGAAGACGAAGACATGGATGATTAGCAGATTACCAGAAGGAATAAGGTTTTGTTTTCAGGCTTGTTGTGTGAATTACACGCATGGAAGTGATCCCAGAAAGCTTTTCAATCCTGATAAAGTCTATAACACGAAGTAAGGCAAACGTACATAGTGGAATGAGAATGAGTAAAGCGTTGTGACATGGTTATATATAAGAGATAAGCACAGATAAGCTATTAAAGCTTGGAATAACCATCCTCATGTTGTTCGCCTAAGAAAAAAATATAGAAAAAACAAACAAACGAATTATTAGAATTTCCAATTTTAGTCAATTCCAGTTAATACTTCATCTAACTTATTGACTCAATCTTACTTTGATATAAGAATAAAACTTGTGCACTGTGGTAGAGTATAATTCCATTATGGGTAAATTTTTGTTTTGATAAAGTCTCACAGTTTAGTGTTATACAGTAATGTTTACTGATGACCATGTTTCGAGCACAATTTATTGCCACTCATAATCATATCAAGGTAATCACACGACTTCCTAACTTCATTTATATACTTCCATCACTTTTTCACTTGATTCGATTGGCAGTAGTTGTATTTTTCATATTTCAGGTATGAGTGATGACTCATTCCTATTCCATGTGTTGGGTGTAGACTCGATGAAGCAGACAGGATTCAGTAATCAACCTCTCTCTCTCTCCACCTACATAGATTACTTTTTAGAATTGTAACCTTCTCCCAGCCACCATGGTATTGTGAGGTTGTCTGTTAATGCATGTAGTGCAATGTAGTGCTGAGCTTTTTTCCAAATTACTTATCTTCTCTGGTGGGGAAAACCATTCTTATCTTACCTAAATTCGTATGTATGGAGGATTATATCATGAGCTGACATCAGTTAGAGAACCACTGGAAAACCTGAGAGTACTGGACAGGTGTTTCGTCTTAGTTTGGGACTCTTCATCAGTACGCACCCACCGGGGTTCGAACCTAGGATCTTCTGGTTACAAGGCCAGCGAGCTCGTAGACCATTGAGCCACTGGGACCCGATCCAATGACCAGTCCTTGAATTCTAACTTCTGCCAGTTCACGACTAATACTTGAAAATTAATCTGATGCTCAATAGCGACTGGCCCTATTCAGACAGTTAACCTTTGGTTCTAGTGGGAAGCCGTGACCAGTAGGTTACAGCAGGTTGAAGATGAGGCAGTAACTCATCGAAGAAGACATTGGGAAGTGGTCGCGCTATGTCGTGAACTGGCAGAAGTTAGAATTCAAGGACTGGTCATTGGATCGGGTCCCAGTGGCTCAATGGTCTACGGGCTCGCTGGCCTTGTAACCAGAAGGTCCTAGGTTCGAACCCCGGTGGGTGCGTACTGATGAAGAGTCCCAAACTAAGACGAAACACCTGTCCAGTACTCCCAGCTTGTTTTCCAGTGGTTCTCTAACTGATGTCAGCTCATGATGTAATCCTTCACACAAACAAAACAAATCCCTACAAAACCAATAGTTAAATTCGTATGTTCCGACAATCTGACTACTCCTGACCTACTAGTTTGACTGACCTATGTAGTTGACCTAACTCACAGTTATTGAATGGCTTTTTGTAAATGATACTATTTTGTCTAATTGGTTCAACTGGTTCCTTTGCCCTACACAGTTTGACATAAATAAGAGAGAATATAAGTCATCTACAGTTATACCATATAAAGAGGGGACATCTGAAACCCTCCCTACGTAGGATTCTAAGTAAAGCAGGAATTAGGCTGGTGGTGGCATTTAAACCTACAAACTCACTCAGCTAGGACAAGCTGTGTAGGTTAAAGGACCCAGTTGAACCAATTAGACAAAATAGTATCATTTACAAAATACCATGCAGTGACTGTGAGGTCAACTACATAGGTCAGTCAAACTAGTAGGTCAGGGGTAGTCAGATTGTCGGAACATAAGAATTGAGTGGCTAAGGTAAGAATGGTTGACCCCACACAAGAAGATAAGTAATTTAGAAAAAAGCTCAGCACTACATTGCACTGCATGCATTAACACACAATAGCATGGTGGCTGGGAGAGGGTTACAATTCTAAAAAGTAATCTGGATAGATAGGTGGAGAGAGAGAGAGGTTGATTACTGAATCCTGTCTGGTTCATCGAGTCTACACCCAACACATGCAATAGGAATGAGTCATCACTCATACCTGAAATATGGAAAATACAACTACTGCCAGTCAAATCAAGTGAAAAAGTAATGGAAGTATATAAATGAAGTTAGGAAGTCGTGTGAGTAGTGCCTTGATATGATTATGAGCGGTAATAAATTGTGCTCGAAACATGGTCATCAGTAAACATTACTGTATAACACTAAACTGTGAGACTTTATCAAAACAAAAATTTACCCATATTGGAAAGAAACGATTTACTAGAATTTACAAGTATTGTTTATATTTTTGAGGATTTATTGTTTGATTAATTGGTTGGAGGATTTCATCATCATGAGTACTGATATCGGTTTGGTTAGAGAAGTATCATTGGAAAACCAACCATAGGGAGTACTGTCAGACAGCCAACTGTTTCCTCCATCCTAGTGCTTTGGCTGGACTGGCTCTTCACGGACAGTACACACCCACCCCACCCATCACAGTGGGGTCCGAATTCAGATTCGCCTTCTAATTAGAAGGAGAGTGAGCTTGTAGACCATTAGGCAGACACTCAATAGGATCCGATCCAATCAGTGACTAGCCAGTGCTGATAAATTCTAATTTCTGTCAATGGTTCTCTCTAACTGATATCACCTCATGATGAAATCCTTCAATGAATTACAAGAAGTTAAATGTGGTGAAAGTATGCTTCAAACATAGACTATTTTCAGTAAAATAGAAAAGGCTCAGCGTGAACAGTCTGTTCTTTATATTTCACTGGTGAATTCATGCATCACTTAGTGTTGTACAACTGCAATACTGTAACACAAGGATGCGGGAGAGCCGGGGGGGGGTGAAGACTAGTAAGTTTAGATTTGAGGATGAAGTAATTTAGAAAATGTTAAGAGAGAGTATGTACGAAAAACTTTTTTACATTTGGGTACGCATTAGTCGTTTCAGGAATTCCAACAGCAGAATGATGACCAGCCATGCCTAATGCAATCCGGGCATCGTTCCCCGGAAAAGTCACACGCTAAACACTGGTGGGTAAAGCCGATACGTTGGTCGGTTGGTTGGTTCTTTGTTTGTTTCGTTAGTTGTCAGAGTCTCTTGTTGCTAATTCTTTCTATCCAGTCGGCCATCCGACTGGTCATTTGATCTTCAGCGAAGGGGGCAGCTGTTCATAAAGCTCTGCAGGGCGAAGTTAAACTTTCGACACCACTAACTACCAATCAGCGAATTATTCAATGAGATTCACGAACGTTAGTTCAATGTTGTATAGCGCTTGATTCATTTCAAATGCGTGCCCTTACAAGGTTACTGTTGCAATTCGAGGAGGATGGTGTTTTCCAGTATTGCCTGGATTTAGGGTTGCTCTGGAAGGAGTGAACGTGTTCGTGTGGTGGTATCATGACTTTGAAAAGCTATAGCAGATCAACTGATGGATTTGTTCGTCGTTGTGCTATATGTTTGAAGCGTGTTAGCATTATAGAGGGTAAGCTGATAATTTTAATATTTCGTAGGAACTTTCTTCGCTAGGTCTCATCTCTCCCTAACCAAGATTTTGTATATCTGCAACTACTGGGTGTTGAAACAGCCGGTGAGAGAAGCAGCAGCAGCCGAGACGTAGAATAGCCTCGTCTCAACAGTTCAGTGGTACCAGCATTGCTTCGTGGAAAAAATAGAGAACATCACTTGTTTGCTGGGTGGAGAAGACGTTATCGTGCATGTCGATGAAACTGTGCTGGTGAAAAATCAACACAACCGTGGTCGCCAGCGAGCGAACAACATTCGGGTTTTGGGTTTATAGGAAACCTCCCTCCGAAAGGGATTCGTCGAACGGATAGCTAACAGAAAAGCAACCACTTTAATACCTATTATAACGAGACTTGTTAAACGGAGGTCAATTATACACAAGGACGAGTGGAAAGGTTATATTTCGCTGTCATCTCTGGGGTATTCATCACAGAGTGAATCATTCAAGTGATTTCGTGAATACCGTTACGAGGACTCATACGAATTTCATTGAAGGGTTTTGCGGCCCGCTTGAAAAACAGGATAAGGGCTATAAATGGATCTAATTTGTGGTCATTTAGATGAATATATGTACAGGATGTGGCGTACCTTTTCCATTGACAGTCCCATGCTAAACTGGGAGATGTTTCTCTCACATGTTCGAGAAAGATACATACCCCTTGTAACCGTTTCATCCTCTTTTTTATGCTTTTTTTCTATGAATATACGTTTCCATTGATCATATATGCCTCTTTAATGTGATTGGTCCGTTCAACGTCGTTTGCTGATTGATGGTGGTTAGTGGTGTCGAAAGTTTAACTTTGCCGTCTGCAGTAGAGTGTTGAAAATCCTATTCGTCACGCACACGTAGAGTGCAAGTTTTTCACCCATATAGAACTGACTGACTAACTGACTGATTTCACATTATTGTTGGAAATCGGAATCATGTTGTTTATTCTGATGAGGGGTGCAGAAGATTTTCAGCTTGATGAAGAAGGCGTATCTTTCTTGTCTGTCTGATTCTGGCTAGCTGGCTGGCTCATCTCGACATCTTCATCCCTTTCGACTGCCTATAGTTGAAACAATGGTGTTGTCTAGGCTAGATAAATGAAGGTAGGAGGTAACCTCGTTAAACCTCTTTCTCCACATGATGGGAATTAGTGCAAGTTGTTGTTGTTGCTGTTGGTATTGATGGTGGTTGGCTAACTAAATCATCTTCACCTCCACCCTCTCCATCTTCATATGGATGGAGTCATCACAGTCGTAGCTGTCAGCCGGATAGTCAGCCTTTTCTGTTCATCTGTCGGTTTTCGCCTGCGAGTCTTCTAGTTTGTGTAATGTTCAGCCACATAACTGATCCACACTTGAAATCCGGATCTTGTTGAGTCAGTCATCTTATTCGTGGTCCAGCGTATTCCTGTCTCCTCACTTCACATACTGTGATGAATAATCCAGTTCATCACAATTAGGAATATCATCGTTGGTGATAATAGGCAGGCCAGCCAGCCAGCCACCTTGTCTCACTTACTTATGTATTCACTGCTTCAAAGGCAGATCTCACTGAGTTTTCCGTTGGGAATCACCTGGCACATGGCACGTTGTCATAAAGTCAACCAGCTGTTCAATAAGGCTGATAAAGACTTCGGCACTGCACAATGTAGTGTTGTAGAAGTTTCCGAATCACTTCTCAGTCAACACTGTTTGTTGACAGTCTTTTCGAAGTCGATGAAGTTGTTGAGGTTAAGGTACAGACAGATTTGACTGCCGTTCTATGCTTTTTTCTGTGATGATGTTGTGTAGAGTTGCAATATGATCAGCACATGATTTGCCTTTCCTGAATCCAGACAGCGGACTGGCGGAATTCCGCATTCATTGCATGCTTCATTCTCCTCAGGATAAGGTGACATAAGATTTTACTTGGACTGGAGAAGAGCATCATTCCACACAGTTCTTGTAGAGGCGTAAGTTGCGTTTCTCTGATAGCTTAATAGAAGGCAGTCAGCCTTTCCTCCAATCGGTAGTCACCTTTCCTTTCTTTCAAACCAATAATAGCCTGAACATATCTGCTGCAGTCTCTGGGTCCGTTTCAGATGCTTTTGGTGGAAACTCTGTCTAGTCCTGATGCCTTCTCGAACTTCAGTAACTTGACTACATTGAAGATTTGTGCTTTCGTTAGTTGATTGGCTGCCAGTAGCAGACAGTTCTGTGAGTGTTGTTGTTGTTGTAGTTGGTGGTGGTGGTGGTGGTGGTATTTCTAGACGAGTTGCAGGTGATGGTAGATTCAAGAGCCTTCAAAGTGATCAACCCATTGTTTGATTTATTTCTCCACCTTAACTAACTAGGTTCTCTTGGACATCTTTTATTAGTTTCATCATCTGCGTTTATCCTTGCCCGGATAGAGACCTGGTTATCTAATATAATGTCCTCAGGTCTCTTCTGCCTGCGGCCTACCTATTCTGTCTCAATTACCGGCCAGTGTGTTGCATAATCATCTATTGTCTCTCCTAGCACTCTCTTACTTCACTTCTCTATTCAATGCAGTGGGCTCGGCTTCTTTTTCTGTTGCCAATCTCTGCATCGAGCCACCTTCTCTTTCATCCTCCTCCTCTCCTTTCTTCTTCCAGGTAGGTGTCTGTTGAGAGGCATTCCTTGTCTTGTCGCTTCTTTTTTCCAGAACAATTTTATACCTTTCTTTGAACATCAGAAAGTTAGTTCCAATGTTTGTCCACATAGGTTTCCTCAGTGATGCCATGTGGTGTCTCTAACTTTTCTCTGGTCTGATCTATAGTGAATGGCATCCCTTGTGGTTTAGTTCCCCAGTTTCTGAATGTTGAACTTAAATTACAATGGCCTATCTCGAGTTGCTTTTGAGGGATTTCAGCTTCACCTTGGAGGTTTCTTCAAACAGATGATGGTTTGAGACCGCATCTTCTCCTCTTCTCGACTTTCTGTCCAGCAGGCTGTCTTTCCATTTCCTTGAGCAGCATTAGGGTGAAGTCTATCTAGTTTGTGGTGTGTCCATCAGGCGAAATCCATGTTGTGCTTTGTGTACATCTTTGTGTTTGTGTAAGCGTTGCCTCCAATCACTAAATCATTGAAACAGAAGAAGTCTGCGAATAATTCGCCTTTCTGATTCATTTCCCTGGGCCAGAGCTTCTCGAACCATGATGAGTTCTCTCCCAGTATTATCTGCTCCCAGTTCTGCTGGCATTCATATCGGCCATGAGGATTTTCATGTCACCATTCGAGTTGTTGTCCATTACTGTTTGCATTTATCTACAGAAGTCTTCCTTCGCATTTTCCGCGTTGTGTTGTAGCACTGTGAGTAAGTAGCATGGCATAATTGTAATCCTCCTTCCTTCCCTCGTTTTTAGTTGAATATTGCTGCTACCATCCTGCATGAGAAGACTGCTTCCCTTGTTCATAAGGGTTTTGACTGACACTGGTGACATTATGGTAGCCACTCACTGCCTCGGTGTGCTCCTGATTGTCGTCTGTGCGGACTGATTAGACTGGAGTAGATTCCTGACTAACCAGTTGAAAATTTCGACAATCCACATTCATTGGATCTGCTCTTGCAGATAGATAATCAGCGCTTCTGTGACACATATATGCGCATTTCTTTGGCTACCTGGGCAGCCTTCCACGTCCCCATTGTTCTTATTCTTGCTCACATCTAGAGGAAACCTATCGGCTTACTGACTGACTTCCCGAAGGCTTTCACCATCCAACTGTGCCATTGTGCCTCTCCGGTTCAAGAGTGAAGAAGTTTGTCTTTCATACAATATTTTTCTTTTAATATCTTTGTTGTGGGTTCAAGTTTCTCTAGCATTCTGATTGGTTTTGTGGTGTGTAGGTTCGTTAGCCCCACGCCCAACCCTCCCTATTTACCACGTCTTAGGACCAGCTAGAAAACTAGGGAGTTAGTAAACTAGGAGAGGATTCTGCAGGTCCTACTATACCAGAAAGGTTGGTAGGATAGCGATTAGACCAAAAGCAGTTACACTATACTAAAGGTCTTTGGATAAACTCCTACTGCCGGTGGACAGGGATGCAAACAACAGTATGATTTTTCGCCTCACTCAGGTGACCAGCATGCAAGCTATATTGCTTTTCCATTCTTGTTTAGGAGAGGGGGAAGGCATCTACACAGGGTCAAATCCGAAAATTGTACACCCTGACTTACCTTACGGTAGTACATAGTCGATAGTAAGTTATCAATACAGAAACAACTATAAAAAAACATCAATTCAAATAGCACGTACGTTTACTTGGGATCTGAGGTCACACATCCCCAAGTCTCTTTCCGTTTCAGCTACTTTAATGAGAACAAAAGGTTGATGTAAACCGGAACAAATACTGAAAAAAAGATGTCACATTTCTCTTTTACAAGCCAACACGCACACATATTGCATACTACTGACTAATGGGCTTCATTCAGTAGTGTTAAATATATTCAAAAAATTATTATTCCTTCCTTTAGTATATAGAGGACCATAGAGCTTCAGCTGCACGTGTCCATTACTTCCAGGGTTCTCTGCCAACCTTTTTCACCTAGTTCCACGTCTGCCCACATGCTTCAAACTCTTCATCACATCACTTCCACCATATCACCCTCGCACTGAAGATTTGTATGCGTATGTGTGTAGGTATGTTATTTGTCATATGGAAAATACGTGAATTCATATGTGATAAACATGATACTACATGTTCTAAAAAGATCATGGAGGCTCATAGAGTGTTTGTTGTTTTTTCATCTGTCTTGCTTCATAAGAGTTTGCCATATAGGGAGGTGATAAGTCTATCCCTTATCTTCTTCCTATTCACTGCATTTGATGTGGTTAAAATGTGCAAGGCTTCCGAAGTCAATTTTTCTTTATGTGTTGAATGAAATCCTCTCCTAAGAATTTCGACATTGTCAAAATCAATCTTATGTCCGCTGTCTATCGCATGCATTGCTATAGCCGATCTTTTTTCTAGACTTTTCAATTCTACTTCATCATTTCTAGGCCGGGATGTTTCGTGCGTAGTCAGTCTATGTTCATTCACTCTGACCTTCATCTGCCTACTGCTCTCCCCCAATATAGATAGCATGCCTCACATTCTGAACACTTTATCTTGTAGACTTAATTAATTTGTGACATTTTGGGAACTATATCTTCGACGTACACTAACGCTTTCTCTAGAGAATTAGAAGGTTTGACATAGACTTTAATATTGTATGCAGCAAGTAGTCTTTGAAGTTTTTCAGCTGTATCTTTTCGATATGGAATGGCTATCGTCGATAGCCAGGATTTTTCAATTTTTTGTTTTCCTTTATGCTCCTTTCTATTGATGATATTATCTAGTAGCTTTTCAGGACAACCATTTCCATCCAATCAAAATCTGTTTTATATTGGTTATTTCGTTCTCCATATCGTCATCATTATCTGTTATAATGTTTCTAGCTCTGTTATAACGAGATTTAAAGCTACTGAAACTTTCATTCCTATTGGACGGATGATCTGATTGCGAAATTCAAATACTTATTGGAATGTGTCAGCTTTCTGTATATGGTAAACGTCTTTAGTTTCTCGTAACACCTACGGTCTGGAAACCTATAAATATGAAAATTAGTTGAATAGTGCCCCTTTTTTGGGGGGAATGGCATCAATGAAAATTTGAGTATGTTCTCCCCACCCCACCCCACCCCCTTTATCCCCCGCCACCTCACCACTGGACAAAAAACATACACACAACTCTCGTAGGCCTATGTGTGATGAACACATATTCAAGAAAACAAAATCAACATTTGTTAAAAAATCATTGGAAAACCAGATGGGAGTACCGGACAGCTGCTTCGTCAGCCTATTTTGCGTCAGCACGCTCGCACTCACTCACTGGTATTTGAACCTAGGACCTTCTGGTTACAAGGCGAGCGAGCGAGCTAGCTAGCTAGCTAGCTAGCTCGTAAACCATTAAACAGACACCCACTGGCAACCGATTCAATTGCCAGCCAGCCAGCCAGAGCATAAATTCCAGCTTCAGACAATTCACGCACAACGTAGCTTTAACCACTAGCCCCGCCAATGTCTTCTTCAATGATGAAATCCTTCAGTTCAATCAAACATAGAATCCCCCGCTACAAAATCAATATTTAATAATGAAGAAGACATCTACACTTATTGCGCCTTAAAAATGTCATTGCTTACCACCATTTGTATCTGTATTGTCAACATCATTTGGTTTTGCTTCCTTACTCGACAAATCCTCTTCGCATTCTTCATCTTCTTCTTTGATAGGTTCATGGACAACATTAGTTGTTGTTGAAGTGAATGTGTGTGATATTCGACGATCTTGTGATTCTTGACTATGCGGAGGTTCACTTTCACTAGCATTACATGATTCTGTACTTCCCTGAAAAGTAAAAATAAATAAAAGAGAAAATACGAAAAATTAACCATCTGGGAGTAGGTGATATCCAGCTGTTTTGTCAGCCTAGTCAGTGACTCATCATCAGTACTCACTCACCGGGGGGGGGTTGGGAACAATTACTCACCTCTTCCACTACCTAGAAGACGGAGAGAAATTGAAATTTATGAGTCATTCCATTAGGGTTCCAGTAGTTGAATAGTTTATATGTTCACTTTTTGACCTATTAAATACTCTTAGGTTCGAACCTCAATAGGGTGGATGCGTACTTTTGATGAAGAATCTTAAAACTGGGACAATAGAAACGGTTGTACAGTGCTCCCAATTAATTTCTAATACCTTCTCTAACACTGATATTGATTGATGATTCCAGTGAATCATTAACAATCAATAGACACATCGAGATAGACAAAATTTATCAACCAATAAGAAAGAAACTTCACACACACACACACAAAGGGTCAAAGTTCAAGTCGAAGAAACAATCAGTTCCAATACCACAAGTAGCCTAGAAGGTGTGAGAACACACACATAAACAACCAATCACATCCAAGGTGGTCACCAGGAGAGATGATTAATGGTGAACTCGTGGAGAAATCTAAAAGCTCACTTCAATTCGAATTGAAGTATGCGCTGAAGGAAGATGTCACCCAGTAGGGTGATGAAAGCTTCGCAAACTAACCATCCAGCCAGTTCAGAGAACAAAACCACATCAAAATCATCCACTTGAGCTACAAATCTTCTCTACCATATCTAGAAAGAATGAGTCTCTAGTATTTCATTTTTAAGATGATGTCCTTATGACTGGAAAAGAGGACGGTTCAATAAAATGTCCCAGGACCTTCCGGTTACAAGGCGAGCTCGTATACCGTTAACCCACTGGGACCCGATCCAATGGTACTTGAATTGTAACTTCTGCCAATTCACGACATAGCGCGACCGCTAGCCAATATCTTCGCTGGCGAGTATTTGTCCTCATTCCCGACTCGCTGCACCCTACTGGTCACGACTTCACACTGAAACCAAGGTATCTACCTACCTGAACAGGGCCAGTCGCCAGTGAGCATCTCATTGGTATTCAAGTGTTGGTTTGTAGGTATTTGATTGGAAGGTCGTGGGTTCGAATCCCGGTGGGTGCGTACTGATGAAGAGTCCCAAACTAGGACGAAACAGCTGTCCAGTACTCCCAGCCTGTTTTCCAATGGTTCTCTAACTAATGTCAGCTCATGATGAAGTCCTAAAGCCAATCAAATCCCTACAAACCAACACTTGAGTTTTATTCATTCTTTCCTATTTGCCGTGAGCTACGGGTGATAGTAGATTCTTCCAGATATCCGGGTGGATAGGTGTTGAATCATTCCTATTACACGTATTCCTAGCGTCTCAGTTGATTCAATAAACATAGCCTAAGTCAGTTAGCAATCTGTCCCAACTACCCCGCACTCCATTACATTATATTTTAGATTACTTGTCTTATTCAGGTCAACGAATCTAGATTTTGCTGGGTTTTTATGCTCCACTAGTGTGACTGACTGCACCTGTTCTACTAACTTCGACCTATGCATTATTTGACCTGACAACCATCAGAGCAGGGTATTAATACTAATAATAATATTAACAGCTTTATTCCAAACGGTATTTGTGGTACAGCCATGGAATTTTCAGCATGCATTACAATATATTGCATCTAATTACCTCATAAATTATATAAAATTTTTAAAATAAATGAAAAAAAAACCAACGCCAAAAAAATAAAAGATAAATAAAAATTAAAAAAAGCGTAGAGCTTACATTTCAAACAATGCACCACAGGATTTGAAATATAAAGTTGATGTGTGATGATAGAAGATGAGAACAACTGTGTAATAGCAACGTGGAAAGGAAAGCCAAAACTAATGGGACTATTTGTTAGAGTGACGCAGTAAGTTTAATCGTGTCATACCTAACGGATTTCTGATCACGCACATAACAGCTGTTCCAGATATGGTATTGTGGAGTTTTTGTATTTGGTAGTCCTAGCATATAGCCAGCCAGCCAGCCAGCCAGCCTCCTATAGCTGCTTCTTGTTCTACCAAATGAAATGCAAGGAGACAGCTGCGTATAGAGAGGATCCTCGGGGTCTGACAATATAGTATTCGCTAGTTTCTAACATGACATTATATGTCTATCCACAATAGTGTTAACCAGTTAGTTGGTTTAACGATATCCCACTTGCCCTCCCTACTAACGGCTTTTAGTGCCCTTCTCAGCGAAGTAAAGTCTTTCTTAAGTAGTCCAGGAAAGATTAATGGGGAGCAGTAAAGGAGGATGGGTAGAATACAAGAATTTACAAATTGAGAAAGTAAAGATTGCCTTATACCAGACTGCCTAAATTTCCTAATGTAGAACGTTAAGCGAAACATCTTTCTAGTAACTAGCAAGATGTGGGAAGACCAGGAAAGATCGGTGGAAAAACTCAGCCAAGGTACTTGACATTAGATGTATTTTCAACTTCTCTGCCGTCAATGATAGTGGGGCCATTTGAGCTAACTAGTTGCTGTAGGTCACTTTTATGTCTGAAAGTGAAATTGACTACCTGACATTTAGATGGACTAAGCTTAAGTCCGTTTGAAGAGGATCACTGACTAATTTCCGACAGAAAGTTATTTAATTTGGAACAATCTGACTGAGAGTTGGTTGACAGGCATAGAAATAGAGAGGTCATCGGCAAGCATACTTAACAAAAGTGTGGCTACATCAGAATCAGGCAAGTCATGTAAGAAAGAAAAACGAAAACAGAAAGGGAGAAAAAACAGCACCTTCCAGGGGGGGGGGAATTTAAATTGTAATGAGTTGAAAAATTCAGCAAACAAATTACTCCTGAAATATTTTTAAATAAACTTACCACTTGTGAATGTTGACCCGCAGTTATCGCTGACAGCAGAGCACGTAGTTCTGGGTTGATTGGAAAACTGAAAATGAACATTTTAGCATAGAAAACATAGAAAGAATTTGACAAACTCAATAAAATGCAAGCGAATAATGAAATGAAGTCAGTAGTAGTAGTAGTCTACACCTTACAGGATTATGTAACATCATCATTTTATGACGAGGGAGGGGGAGGGCGAGGAGTTAGAGGTACGTATACGCTGCACAACTGATATGATGGCTTTAGAAGATTTGAGTTTTGCAGATGATAGACGTCCAATGGAAATGTCACATAAAGTCGAAGACTTGCAAGCAATAGCTGGCAACAAACTGGCTGAAGAGGTAAAGAAAAAAAAATATAGGACTCCAAGTGAGCATAGAGAAGACGTAGATGATGAAGATAACCAACCAACCAGAGAGGTCTCGTGTGCATTTCGGATTGTGAGGGCGATTGTTACTTCCCGGCTGCCCACACCGTGGAAGTTGTGTGGTTGCATGACCGCAGAGCCCAGGGGACAGCTGATTGAGCCAGGCCGGTCACACGCGGCCTGCTTTTGTTTCTTCTTTATTGTTTGGTGTGTCTCAGTAGGATACTTATCACTCCTGCCCTGTGACACGGCAGCAGAAGCGCGGTCGTTGTTAATAATCCGGGCCACGGCCGATCCGGCATGAAGTTTTGTAATTTTGTTTGTATCATAATGGTGGGTTGGGTAGCTGCTTTTTGCTTTAACCGCTATCCAAACAACCTGCCTGGCATGGTAGGACCTCAAGTGACATACGTCTCAGCCAGTATAGCTTGATTAGGTCATTGCGGTGTTCAAGCCCGACCACCACGTCAAGGTAGCAGCTTTCGGTCGGGACCAACCAACCAGCCAACACCAGCAACAACCAGCATTAATCACCATCAGTGTGAGAGATTTAACAGAATATAAAAATTGGGCAATGTGGTAGAGTATAACTACTCTATTATGGATAAGATTTTAGTTTGATAAACTGTCACACACGCACACACACACACACAAAGTGTGTTTGTTATACAGTAAAATTTACTGATGATAACCACACACACGCTTAGAGCACAATATATGATTGCTACTACCACTACTACTCATGATCATAATCATATCAAGGCACGCACACACACATTACTCACTTTCTTGCTTCGTTGTTTATATACATGCATAAGTACAAATTGATGATGATTAGACAACATATGATTCAATTGAATCAATCAGTAATATAAGATGAGAAGAAAATACATTCGGAAATAATTATAATAACAATGACATTAGTACTATCAATCAATCAATCAATCAGTCAAATACAATCCGATGTTTGTAGCCGGAACTATGACTTAGTAGACTATGAACGAATACTAACTAAATGCGTTGGTTAATCTGTCTTAATCGCATGTCAGCAACAACAGTAGTACAGCCTAGCCGTTAAGATAGAAGACATATTAAAACCTGAACTCTGCCTGACTGACTGCCTGCCTGCCGAAGAAGAAGTCTGTGGCGTCATTAAATATACAGTGCACCTGACCTATCTTAACACCGAATACGTAAGTTTGTTTCGTCTTTTTCTTTGCTAGTTTGTTTCTTAACTGTATAATATTTCCTTCCCTCATCCCTTATTACTACTGTTGTTGACTTGACGTTTGTTTAATTTTTAATTTTAGCTGAGCTCTCTACTCAACCCTGCCAATAATTAGACTGCGTCACTCAGCCTCCAAAGCCTCAGGATGATCGGGGGTGGGTGCTTTGCGCTGCGGGTTGGCCACCCTTCCCACCGTACACCTCTTGAAATGCTCCCATATGACCGTGCGTCTTACATATCCCCTCTCCTGAGGAAGTCCTACTCACTGCCTTCACGTGGTGGAGGTGTTTTTCACCACCGAAGTGAGAGGGCAAAAGCGAATGACCGGCGCTCTTCACCGGGTTGACTGACTGTCCATTGGATGACAGTCTAGGGGAGACGGCTAAACCCTGCCTGATTCCAAACCTCCAACGACTCGTGTATGAAGCTCACCAGAGCTCACCGTCAGACGTATGGACAAAAGGCTTGTTGGATGCCCTGGTGCATGTCTGGCCCCATTCAAAAAAGCGTATGAACCGGACTCCAGTCACCGGCTGGCTTCCAATGGATAGTGGACTCCCACCTACTCCACACCTACTGCCTTGTAGGTCACACTTGGTTGGTTGTGTAAAGGCTAGAGCTGCACTCTCAAACAAAAGGCCGAGCGATTCTGGGGACACATCACTCGTACCTAACTCCCATGAAACTTCATCAACTCTCGTTGCTACAACATCAACCAAATTCCAGTACTGGTCTAACAACGACGCCTTTTTCGGTGGTTTGGCCATGTTCTGGGCCGACCAAATGACGATCTGGTCAAATCAGTTCTAAATCCCTCCTCGCCACTACCATCTTGGCGATGTCGCAGGGGTGGATATCTGAAAACACATGGCTTGGTACAGTCAGTCAAGGCTGATATGGAGTGACTGGGCTGGGGCTACAAACCGTCTACGGACTCCGTCTGTGGAACAAGAATTGGATAACCCTGTGGCAAAACCTTGCTTGCATCAGATCACCGCGCCTGGACAGCGATGATTCGAGATGTTAATGAAGCCGGCTCATCCTCCCGTAGGAGATAGCCGAAGTAAGGTAAAGTAAGTAAGTCACTCAGCTTGCTTATTTAATCTTACTTTCTAACTTAGTTTTTAACCAATTCATGAGAAATCTGGTATTTAAGAAAATTTACTATTCTAATGTGTGGCACGTCTTTGGAAATACTCCCTGTTGTTGCTAAGACAATTTACTGTGCATATATGCATACATGCGACTGTATACAGCTTGATGAGAATGATATTTTCGAAAAAAAGGAATAACTCTTCTCTGAACTTCTTTGTCTTTTATATGACTCCATGGGAATTTTTAAGTCCTAAACCAGGTGAACGAAACAGCTGTCTGGCAGTATTCCCTGTGGCTGGTTTTCCAGTGGTTGTCTAACCAATCGATGCCAGTGCTCATGATGATGAAATCTTCCAACCAATGAATCAATCAAATAAAATCCCTAAAGACCAACACTCTGATAATTGATTGATATGTTGTTCACTAGCAACTGCACCTATTCAGGTGGTTAGTTACCTTGGGTTCTATTGTGGGCAGGCCGTGATCAGTAGGCTGAATCAGGTTGAAGGTGATGCAGTAACTCATCGAAGAAGGCATTTACTTGTGGTCGTGCGTGAACTGGCAGAAGTTAGAATTCATGCATGGAGTGACTGGCGGGTTATTGGATCGGGTCCCAGTGAGTGGCTGCTAGCTAGCTCACCTTGTAACCAAAAGGTTGTGGATTTGAACCTCAGTGAGGTGTGGTGCATACTACTGAAGAGCCAGGCTAGCCGAAGCACTAGGCTGGAGGAAACAGCTGTAGTAGCTGGTAGTACTTCCTGTGGCTGGTTTTCCAACAACCTATGTCAGTGCTCATGATGAAACCCTCCAACCAATCAATTCTAACACAATTCCTACAAAATCAATACTTGAAGAAACTGCTAAAATAATCTGATAAGATAATTAAAAGTTAGTGAGTAGGTGAGTGAATTCACTAAACATGATCAGTTGATTAGAGTTATACAAATTAGAGGATGAGAATCTCATGTATGTCATGGCCTATTGGTTACTTTATACACTTGTTAAGTGTGTGCTACTGATAAGTTTTGTTAGTAGTATAAGAGTAAAAACATCAAATAGCATTGAGATAGATTTGATATCAAAAGAGAATATAAGGACGAATGATTCCGCGTTGCAGATGGGAAATTTGAAAGGAATTCACAGAGAAACACACAAAATGTGAAAGGAAGAAGTCAAAAGTAGCACAACAGCAAGGAAGATTTGTACAAAACCAAACAAATATTAGCAATATGAAGTGATCGCCGTTCGTTATGAAATATTCGAAAAAGTAAAAATTAAAAACAAAGCGAACCTGTTAACTACTAGCACAACAAATTGTTCTAAGCCTATGCAAAACACAAAAACTTTTTTAATTTCAACTGATTCAAAATGCCCATTTAAGAAAATCTTTTTTTTCCTCGAAAGACTGATTACTGATATTTGTGTAAAACTTGGGCACTGTGGTAGTAGTAGTAGTAGTAAGTAATTCCATATTATTGTTAACTATGTTATACGACTTGATCACGGATTGATAACAGTTAGAGAACCATTGAAAACCAGCACTAGAGTACTGGACAGCTGCTGTTTCATCCCACTAGTTTGGGAATCATCGTCAGTACGCACCCACTGCCAGGATTCGAACCCAGGACCTTCCGGTTACAAGGCAAGTGGGTGCGTACTGACGATGATTCCCAAACTAGTGGGATGAAACAGCAGCTGTCCAGTACTCCCTGGTTTTTAATGCTTCTCTAACTGATATCAATCCGTGATCAACTCGTAGAAACATAACTAATCCTTACAAACCAAACTATAGAAAGTTAACCATGTTAGTTTTAAAGCGGTTGTAAAGAATCTAAAAAGAATGATAACATCTGGCTAAATCTGTCTTCTAAATTCTATATTTTTCTCTCTCTCACGTTCCCCAGTAGAAAGTAGGGCTTCCATCTGTTAGTAGCTTGAGGTTTCTGTAGCAGTGGTGTTTAATTTTACAGGGTGGGGTTTCTAGTCTCATGCCTAACCTTTCCTCCTTACCAGCATTATTTCTGACTCAGCGAGTGCGTCGGCCAAGGATCGAACCCCGGACCATGTGCGTGGTGGGCGAGTGTCCTAACAGCTATGCCACCGACGCACAAATTTTATATTAGTTTGTTTATTAGATATAGCACATAGCGACAAAGTATCATTAACTGGATGACGTTTTGAAAAAAATTTATTGTTGGTAATCATATCACTTGTAATCACACGACTTCAAAAATTGAGTTTTATAGTTTTCTTTGTTCTCTCCTATTTGTCGTCATCGTTGGGGTAGTAGTAGTAGAATTTTCCAGATATCTGGGTGGACAGGTATGAATCATTCCTACTACACGTATTCCCC